AAAGGGGAGGGGGGCGGGAAGTACACACATAAGCACGAGGCGTGTGCAGCGATTAGCAGCGGAATAATCATCACTGGTCACGCAGTGTCCACGAAGACTCGTTAAACCGCTTCTGTGCTACTGTGCCGCTGTACCCTACTCGTTCGGCGGGCGCTTCTCATTTATGCTATCGATCTGCTTGGCCTTTGTGAATTTTTCCAGCTCGTTCTCCAGGCCCTCCTTGCCCTGCAGGAGGAGGCCCACTGGGATCCTGTAGCCGGGGCTGCATCCCTTGAGCTGCACAATGAGTTCGTTTTCCTTGCGGAGTGTCCTGAAGACCCTCATGAGACGGCCAACCGATTGGACCTTTTTCCTGAGGGCATCGGATCGTTCCTTGGAGGCCTGGGCGTCCTCGTTGTGCAGCCGTTGGGCCGCTTGCTCGGCCTGGCTACCCATCTGCTGAGTAGACCCAGCTAGCGAGGCGGAGGCAGCGGTAGCCGCTGCAGCGACATGAGCAGACCGGCCTGAAAGTTGCCCATTTTTTGGTGCCCCCTCGTTGAAGCAGCCATCCTTGAAAAGGGCTTCTTCTTTGGCCTGAGGAGAGGAGGGTGTGTCTGCCCCTTGCTCGATGGAGTTGCCTTCATCGTGTACCGTATGGTGAGTGGCGGCAACGCCATTACGCACACTGAGTTCGTCTAGCTTCATATTATTTTCTTCAATGTAATTAATAATTTGTAGTACTTCTGGAGGAAGCACAACATCCTTCACTCCTTCATCCGACTGATTCACACTGGAGTTTAAAATGGAATAAAGCATTTCAGTGACCTTTTCACTAACAAAAGGAAGAGACCAGGTGAACAGATTCATAAAATTGGGTAAGTGATAAGGATGTGGAGAAAAGCTGAACTGCTGTATGTTGAGGGTGTTACTGTCGAATTTCAACACAGCTCCTTTATTATTATACACGTCACAATAATTTGGTGCTGAAAAAATGGTTATAACAATGGGGAAGCCTGTTTTTAAATTAGTCTGGTGCATTTTGTATCCCTCGAGTTGTGCTTCATGTGCTCTTATAATGGAGAGCAATCCGTTTTTTTCAAGGAAGGTTGTGGCGGCATTATAACCAAAGAAGTAGCTACATCCTCGAATGTCATTAGGGAAGTAGGACTCTGTTTGAATTGTATGTTCTTCTTTATCTTCATCGATTGGGTCAGACCATAATATGTCACAAAAAATACCTGACCTAGGAGGCTCTTGAAATCTGGTGAATGAACAGATTTGATTAAGAAGTACTAGCTGTGGAGAAAGACCTCCATGTACAGCTAAAAATTTTCCATTTATTACAGCAGATAAGGGGATGGTATCGAATGATTCCATGAAGGCATAATAAACTACCATGTCGTATTTGTACTCACATTCATCCCTGAAATTGAAGAATGAGGTCATTTGCCTACATTCATGATTCCCTCTTATTAACCAAATCTTATTGGGGAAATTTATTTTTAATGCATAAAGGAGTAACAGGACTTCTATACTAAACGATCCTCTGTCCACATAATCACCAAGGAAAAGAAATTGAGTCGTTTCTGGGTTTCCTCCCACTTCTAGCAATTTTAAAAAGTCGTAGTACTGGCCATGTATGTCTCCCACTATGGTTATTGGGTCTTGGAGCCGCAATAAGTTTGGCTCGTTGCTCACTATGTCAATCACCTTTTTTATTATGTCTAGGCAGTCTTCCTTTCGTATGCGTCCTTCCTTCCTCAGATGGTCCCGCAGCGCCTTGTAGTCTGGCGGCTCGTCCGTGCCGTTCGGGTACAGCAGCTCCAGGCTCAGGGGCTACGTGTGTGTTT